CATGGAAGACTATTATGGTTACAGAACAGCAGATAAATATCATCAACTGACAACTTGAAGGAGTTGATAGGAGTTAGGAGAAAGGGTGAGGAAAGCTGAAGGTAAGGGTAGGGTATTAATATCCTCCTTTTAAAAGTGGACAATCAAGAGATACTGCCTATAATTGACCAAAAGAGAAATAATGGTTTATGTACATCCCTTAAGGCTACAAAGGTAACTATTATGGATTGAACTGTGTCCCTCAAAAGTTTATGTTGAAGTCCTAACCACTGGTACTTGTGAACATGACATTGCCTGGAAATAGGATCTCTGAAGATGTTATTTGTTAACATGAGGTCATAGCAGAGTAGAGTGGGCACTAATCCAATCTGAAAGGTGTCCTATAAAAGAGAAGAGACAGCCATGTGAAGGTACATCTACAAGCCAAGGAATGCCTGGGGTTACCAGAAGAGACAAGGAAGGATCTTCCCCTACAGCAGACAGAGACATCACGGCCCTGCTGAGCACCCTGAATTCGGACTCCTAGCCTCAAGGAACTGTGAGACAATACATTTCTGATCTTATAAGCCACACACTTTGTTTCATTTTGTTACAGCAGCTCTAGGAAACGAATACAGTAACCGACAGAAAAACAAAACGTAGTGATAAAAAGAACCATCTTGGGAAGATAGGGGAGGTATCCAAAATCAAACCCATTGCCATCGAGTTGCCGACTCACAGTGACCCTACAGGACACAGTAGAACTGTCCCACAGGGTTTCCAACACAGCTTCAAACCAGTTCTTTCTGGTTCAAATCCCTGCTGAGAATTTGCATTTCCACCCCCAGACATACTGAATGAGAACAGACATTTGAACAAGATCCCCAGGTGATTCTTACGTATAATAAACTTTGAGAACCACTGCTCTACACTCTACTAGTGGTTCTCAGAATTGGTCCCTAACCAGCAGCATTAGCATTGCCTGGGAACTTGTTAGAAATGCGAATTCTCAGCAGGGGTTCGAACTAGAACAAACTAGTTTGAAGCCCTGGCTTCCAAGGCTGTCATCTTTACAGAAGCAGACTGCCACATCTTTCTTTTGCAGAACAGCTGGTGGGTTTGAACTACTGATCTTTTGGTTAGCAGCCAAGTGCTTAACCACTGCATCACCAGGGCTCCTTGGGGGAGGTATAAGTGGGCCAACTCATAGCAGGAAGTCAGTAGGTCATATAAACCAAGAAACAGTAGTTGAGCCTAACATTTAAGAGCATGGACTTTGGAGACTGCCTGAACTCGTATCCCAGTTCTGCTACTAGATCTTGAGCAAGTTATTTAACTTCTTGGGCCTCAGTTTCCTCATCTGTAAAATGGGGTAATAGATCTTACCTCAAGGGTTGAGGTGAGTTAATATATGCAAAGAGCTCAGAATAGTACCTAGCCCACAGAAAGCACCACATAAGTATCTGTTATTATTATAAGCCTATTACTTAAAAATATGAACAGCTAAACAGGCTAATGCGGTTGTTTCTGGTGTAGGGAAGCGGTAGGGCAGAGGATTGTTGCTTTTTACTCTGAGTTCTCTGTACTGTTTGATTTAATCACAGGCATGTATTACTTTGATTATAATACAAGAAAATGTCTAACAGAATAGTTGGAAGCTAGAGAGGTACTGAGTGCCTTGTCACTAGGGGTATGCAAGTAAAGCATGGATGTAGTAGAGGTAATGCAAGCATCCGAGGAGTTGGGTTGGATGATTCTGCCCTCTGTCTTGAGCAGCAATGATACTGGGAATGAGCCCAGAAGCACCCACTGGAGGGAGGGGGCAGAGACACCCTGGGAGAGAGACAGCCCCTCACGTCATCCCCAGGGAACACGCTGGCTGGTGGGGAGCTCGTGCAGAAGCAAAGGGGGATATCACTCCCTGGCAGCCAAGGTGGAGCAGTAAGAACAGAGACCAGGAGTCAGAGCCCTGAATTTAGTTCTTGGCAGCATGTGACATACCTCTGTGGGCCTCAGTTTCCTCATCTGTACTTTGGAAATGTTACCTGGCAGCTCACTGGGAAGTTGTGAGGACTGAGTAAGCTGCTGGACAAGGAAGCCCCATGCATATGACAAAGTGGTGACCATATCTGATACCCACAGGCTGTTCTAACCAGGGCAGCCACAGACCCCCACCTTGATGGGGATCCAGAACAGAGATGTCCCTCGGTCAGAAGCTCCCTAGAAGACAGCTGGCAAGTAGGCTGGGACCTCCTTGGAGGAGGTAGAAGGCCACAGGGCACGTGCTGTGGCAGACAGTCTGGGGTGCATGACTCAGCCTAGGCAGGCTCCTTAGCTCCTCTGAGCCAGTTTCCACCACAGTAAAATAATACTTTATAGGTGAGGCAATGCTTAGATGACCTAATGGGGCTAAAGAACACAGTATGTACTCAGTAAATTGTTTCTAAAAGTGAAAAAGAAAGCACTGTCCACAGTGCCTCAGTAGCAGGAGAAAGAGCTACCCTCAGCCCAGTCTCTCAGACATCTCATCTTATCACAAATCGTATCACAAACTTCCTAAAACTGGCTCTAAGCACACCAGTGCTCAAACACCTTCCATGGCTCCCCAGTGCCTGCAGAATAAAAGCAGCATCCTCAGCTTACTATTCGGGTTAAGAACTAGGGTGCAACAACTGAGGGGCCTAGGGCCCAAAAGGAGGCTCTCACTTCCAGGGTTGTGCTCTGCTCTGAGTGAGTGACTCCTTAAATTTTGTGCTCTAGGCGCCTCACTCTAGTCCCAGCCCCTGTGGCCATTAAAGTCCCTTCACAATCAGGTAGCATCCTCAGCCACTTCCCTTCACACCCACAAAGCACCAGCACCACTGCACTCCTTGTCTTTCCCCAAACTG